ATTCATTCTACCCTCCATTCCCAGATTGATACTGAGATTCTGAAGTGATTACATTATGTAATTATATCAATATAGAAAACAAGGTTTGCTAAAATACCTTTTAACGTTAAACTGGGCTGATAATTTCTGTAATATGGGAAACATGGCCATAAAGTATTTGGAAAATGTTCCTGATAGACCAGTGTGAGGTTATATCACGATGACTATTCTATATTGGAAATATATGGGAAGTAACTGCTCCCTATCACAGGATGTCTACAGTATCTAGGACTCTTAATGATACCCTCTGTCTCTGTCAGGAGAAAAACATTCTAGTGCCATGATGGCGAATCTATGCCACGCATGGCAGAAGTGGCACACAGAGCCATCTCTCCAGGCACACTAGATGTTGCCTGTTGCTCTTCCAGATTCCGGCACTAATAAATTATGATTGTTGGCTCTGTCCTGCTAGTATAGTTGTATCCACTAGAGCAGTGGTGGTTAAACTTTTCAGCACCAAGTGCTGAAATGCATGCATGCGTACGTGTGCCGGAAACCGGAAGAGCAGCTCCCGGCGCACACATACGCACTGGCCACCTGGTCTTCCAGCTTCTAATATGCATGCACACGCAAAGGCCATCTGGCCGGTGCAAAAATGCACATTAGAAACCAGCCGGCCAGCTGGTGTTCACACGTGCATGCATGTTAGAAGCTGGAAGACCAGGTGGCCAGCGCGCATGTGTGCACCGGGAGCTGCTCTTCCAGTTTCCAGCACACATGTGCGCATGCATTTCAGCACGGTGCTGAAAAGGTTAACCACCACTGTTCTAGTGGATACAACTATGCTAGCAGGACAGAGCCAACGATCACAATTTATTAGTTTGTAGTCTACAAATGAAGTATTTCTGTAACTTCAGACTAATTACATAAGATTCAATGAAACTTCTATGCTAGAGGTCACCAACCGGTGGTCTGCAAGAAAATTTTGGTGGTCCGCAGTGCACCTGGTTGGAGGAGCTGCTCTGGGATGACCAATGCGCCAGTCCTGTGACTACAGCTCTGGAATATGGGACCGGCCAGCAGCTCATGGTGGGGCTGGAAATCGCCATAGAGGGAGGTACATGCAACTTGCAACTTTGCAGGTGATGAACATGCAAGGAGTAGTGCAGCCCTCGCCAGCCGAAATGAGCTAATGGTGCTGTTGCAGCAAGGGGGGTGGAGGTGCAGGTGGGCCCAAGCAATGGGTGTCGGCAACCCGTGGCTCTTTCTTCCCCCTGCTGTGGCTTCCTGTTGGCTGAACCAACCACTGGCTGGCCTTGCCCCTCACCTTCCCAGTCACTCCTTGCCTGGCCTGAGAACAGTGGGGGATGGAGACTCACTCCATATTCCAGTGCAGGAGCAAAGTTTCATCTCTTGCTGGGTCTCGCGGGCATTTCTTCTGGCCCTTGTTGGTGCTGTGCGTACCTCAGTCGCTCAGAGAGGCATGCAATTCCTCTCAGCCCTGAGACACTGGCCCAACCTAGCTGCTCCTCACCGCTGCTGCTGTTGGTGCATGCATGGTCTGCTTAAATTTAGCATCCTTCACAATGGGGGAGATGGTGTCCACTCCTCCTCCTGGAGCCCATTACGACATGGAGCATTGGCTGCAGCCGGGTCGGGTGAGTGAGTGACTGAGGTATGTCCAGCACCAATAAAAGCCAAAGAAGCACCCGTAAGACCCAGAGAGCACCTGAGAATCAGAATGAGGGAGAAAGAGAAAGGGAGTGAGACACAGAGAGAGAGAGATACAGAGAGAGAGATGAGAGAGAGAGACAAAGAGAGGGGGAGAGAGAGAGATGAGAGAAAGAGACAGAAAGAGAGAGACATGAGAGAGAGACATGAGAGAGATACAGAGAGATGAGAGAGAGATGAGAGATCCCGGTGTTTTGTTTTCTGTGGGAAACAGCTCTTTGAGTGTTTAAGGTTGCAGAAACAGGCGGCCAAGCTAAGTGCCTGAAAGACCCCATCCCGTCACTGGGAGTCCAGGTGCTTCAGCAAGCGGCACGCTGGATTCATATTAGTAGTCCACGGGATTTAAAGTTATGAATTTAGTGGTCCCTGAGGTCCGAAAGGTTGGTGACTCCTGTTCTATGGAAGTAATTTCTTCCTTTGGGGTGCTATCACAGCTGTTAAATTTAAACATATGCCCCCAAATAGTAAAGAACCATGGAATGGGAGTACATTATAGATTCACAGGGAATGATTGTCTTCAAATGCAATTTTTCCAAAAAGTACATTGATGTTATTATTAGACTTACTTACTTCCCTCCTTCCCTCCCTCCCTTCCTTTGCAGGATATATTGATTGGAGATACATGTGAAAGGCAGGATATATAGTTTGACCCACTCAACCTAGCCTTGTGAGGTAAATAAGATTGAGAGAGTGTGACCGGCCCAAAGTCACCAACTAGATTACATGCCTAATGCAGGACTAGAACTCATAATCTTCTGGTTTTCTAGGTCAGCACTTTAACTATCACACCAAACTAGCTCTCTTCTTCCTTTGATACATGGGAGATGAAAGTCACATTTTGTATCCTGCATTAATGAAAATCATAGTAAAATTTTTATGTGTGTGCAAACTGAATCATATGAAGGGAGATACTGTTACATGTGACAGACTTTCAGAAGGCTTTTGCTGTCATGACAAAGCTTTGTAATATGAAGTATAAATATTTTCATATTGGTAATATAAATTCTGTGAAGTAGGTTATGAAAGGATTAAGTATCCACCTGCTGTATAGCAATTCTGGATAAGACTGACTTCCATTTCAAAGGTGGGATGAGGAAGAGAGAAGGTTGAGGTTAAGACCATTTTGTTTTTGAAGGAAAGATGTTAAAATGTTAGAGTTGATTCTTCTGTCTTAGTAGCAATTCATAAAGACTTAAATTGAAAGAGCTGTTTACACAGATCATAATTTGACTGCAGAAGCCATTAAATTACTTAAGCAAGCATATCGATATGTTTAAAAGTCACCTTTTAGACCTTTCAGGAAATCAGCATGGGAGAGTGAACCTTTGTTCATGTTATCTTGTAGATACAGCCAAAAACCAGAGAAAGAATGTGATTATTCCATAGGAAAAGTCCAGTGAGGAAACTATGATTTTGTGTTGCAAAAATCCCTCTCGTGCACAGTATATTCAAAGTGAAAGTGGTATGAGAAACAGAACCACCATTTGGGTGTGATGGACCAAAATAATGGAATAATGCTGCAAAAGTTAATTTGACTCTTTAGTCAAGGTATTTTAAGGCCACATCAGTATTTGCTACTAAGTGTCTACTTAATTTAATCAATTATGTTTACAGCAAATACTTGCCATGTTTTCAGTTGGATATGCACAAAAATGTAATGTGATTAATCAGCTTTGTTACTAATTACATATTGGAAGAAAGTTGAAAATCAGAAGATGAAAATCTAGCGTGGTCCTATAATGTTGGGATCATGCTGATCAGTTTGATAAACAGTTTTTCTACTTCAAGCCTCATTTTCCTAAAGTCGATTTCCTATGCTGAAAACTAAATGGATGCTATAATGTTTAAGCCTGAAAATGTGTTCACCTACCTTTGTGTTGGAATAATAAGATAGTTGTGATTGTTAAGAAAAATCAAACTCCGTGATAGGTTTTCTGCTGTGTTGCAGATTTTACTGGAGGTGATGTTCTTTTCTCAGTCACAACTGACACAGGGAAGAATCAGTTCTCTGTGGTGTGATCCTATCCTTTGGGGAATGTGTTTAAATAAATGGTGCATTTATTGACTGTTCCTATGGTGAATTCACATTGTGTCATGAATTGTGCTTTTGTTTTTATAAGTGATAAAACAGGACATGGTCTAATAAATGGTTTAAAACAATCTTGTATTAAATAATTTTGGAAAGAGCATTGTCTCTAGTTTATTCTCTCTCTTTTCTTAATGCTTTGAGACATAGATCAGGAACTGCTTATTCTCTCAAGCTTCACTTATTGGATTACATTGGGGGAATTGTTTCTTAAAGCTCTCTGAATCTATGAATGACAATAAAAACCAGAGATCGGTTTCATATATTCTTACTATGCCAGTGCTATTTCAAACAATGCTTCATAAATGTCATGGTTTTTGCCTGTAGAAACAATGGTTCTCTTATTGTCACAGTATTCTAATCTTTATGTAAGAAAGGAAATGATGAGGGAAATTAAATTAGCCTGCAAAGCAAATGAAACTCAAACTTCTCTCTGGGATGAAGAGCAAATGGAATGATGATTTGAGTCTCTTTTAAATATGTAATGTGTTTTTCATTTAATAGTAACAACATAAAAAAATCATTGCATATACAAAGTGGAAGCCAAGAAAGTAATTTGTTCCGGCAACTTCCATTTTCACATGAATTTTTAATGCCTTCATTGAAAGCTAAAAGTATATGTAGCAGAATGTCAGAAAGTGGTTTTTTTTCTTACGAAGTTTATTAAAGATATTGATAAAACAGTAGTATTGACTAAATTCAGCTCTAAATAACTAGAAAATTCAATTAATAGTAAAGCACAGATCTTTAAAAGTTAATTGGTTAAAAAAAGAGAGAAGGGTATAGTTAGGCTTGTCAGCAAGTGCAAATCCATGTTCTTAAGATTAAATGCTACAAAAATATAGTAGCATTTCTGATTAACTTGTTATAATCAATAATACTTTGCTCTTAGGGAATAATCACACTGAGAGTTCTTAAGGTGCCTGGGAAGGCATTATTGAGGAAGAATAATTAAATAATGTATTACAGTACTTTTATTCCAACTGGCTGATTGATATTTAGAAGCAACCAAACAATGCAGTAATATGAAAAACTTCAAATATGAATCATACAGTATTTGTTCAGTAAACTTTAGCTCTTCCTTCATGTTGGCCATGTGACAGAGTTTGCTGGTTCAGGTCACTTTCCCTTTACAGGCATGGGAACTTCATTATTCAACCCTGGATTAATTACACAGCAGGCTGAGCTTTTACTTGTTCAAATAATGTGGCTGCCAAGCCCAGTGGCCTTATTAGAAGCAATGCTGGGTGGTTCTGTGGATGCACAGTTAGAGAATCTGACCCTTGCTGCTTTCTCACATGATAGGTGCCGAATACTGAAAAAGAAAGGGGAGAGTTTGCTTTCGTGTCATTAACAAAAGGTAGCCTGCTTCCAGAGCGCAGTTTTTAGTCCTTAAACTCTGACGGAGGCAATTAGGTGGAGCTGGCTTTCCTGGAATTGTAGCATAGATTTTCCTGTTGTGCTTCAATATCAACTGTCTCCAAGTTACAAACCCACTCACAGTGCTAAAAGCTTGGGATTACTGCAAGTAGAGGAGGCCACTGTATCTCTCGGCTTTTCACTTTCTGACTAAGAATCAGCGTGCTCACTTATCAGCAATGTTTCAGCTAAAACATTCGGGTCGAAATCCACTGGTGGGTATATATGTGCAATTGATAGTTTGAAGAGATTTTCAATATAGACAAACTTTTTAAAACAAATTTGTAAAAATATGATGAATAAGCTTTATTTTCTTTGATTGTAAACTTGGCTTTTATTTTATAAAAAGGTGAACTAGTTCAAAATAGCTTTGTAATATTTCTAAATGTGATTTTATGAATAGTATTGTGTTCAGATTTTTGATAATAAACTTAATAGATGTAGAAAAGCTGTTGGGTGACAGATGTTTGTAGGGCTATCATTCCTTGTTAAGGTTGCCAAATAAGGCAATTTTTTTAAATTACCAAATTTTACTTGAAATCCCATAGGAGACTTGTGTTAGATATGTGAACTGTATCCCTGATATTAAATTTGTTTAAAATTGTTGTTTAATATTAGGATGTTGTTAATAAAAAAAAAATATTACTGGTTCTTTGACATGCTTTGCAATATCACTCTTAAAATGTTTGCTTGAACATGTGATTTAATATCTATATCTTTGAATGGGCATATATATTTGCATAGTAATTAGGCATGTCTTGTGGTTATTTCTAGAAACCATTCATTGTTATTAGTTTTTATGGTAAACATATAATTTTTTTTAAAAAGAACTAACCTGTATAGAATATTTTTTTATGACTTAAGAAACATGATTACAGTCTTTAAAGTACTTCTTGGCACAAATCATTTGGGTGGGAGGAAATTAACTCTGGACTTAAATGTGCAACAATGCATTTGAAATGCTTCGATCCTTTTCCTTTTGTGGTTATTATGATGGCAGGGCAGGGGCCAAGTATTCATGCCTTTCTCATATGGAAGCTGATTGTATTGGCACCGAAACTCACTTCTAGTCAAGTATGGGACAGCACATTTTACTTTAAACTCCAGCAGGCTTGTTTTAGGAGCCAGATCACACTGTGCAGCAGCACCTCTTTTCTATCTGCTGAACGGTAGTCAGTCCTGAGTAATGACTAATGAAAAGGTTAGTTCTCGACTGAATGTTGTTGCAGGTTTTAATTTCTTTGATGCACCAACAGAAATCTGGTCTTACTGTTCTGTAAGGCTAGTGTATTTATCCACTAACTTTTCTTTTTGGATTCATTCCTCTAGGCAGAACAATTAATTACTTGACCTAGTTTTCTAATTGCTTGGGTGTAAAAAAGTCTGTACAAGTTGCTGCACAAAGTAGAAAGACAACTCTATATGTAGAAGAGTAATGTTTAATAAAGGAAGCCTATGTATCTACTCTCTCCCTCTCCCTCCCTCCTTGTGAGACATATAAATATGGAGACGGAGAAAAAAGACATATAAATATATAGATTTTAGAAAATATTTTTCTTATTTAATTTGTTTGTATGTAAATGAAAGAGCATCATTGAAAGAGAAATGACTTTTTATCCAGGATGGTTATTATTGACAATCCAATTGGCAGATGAACCTTTAGCAGAAAAATGAACTACAGGAATAAACATTAAATACTAACTAGATCATGCAGTTATTTGTTTGGTACATTATAATTTTAGTTATGTAAAACCTCAGTTTGTAGAAATGTCTTTGAGATCCCAGATTACCTAAAAAGCTGTTTCTTAAGGAAAAATTTGGAAATATTTGTTTTTTTAAATATTACACTCTGTGTCTCATAATATCTAGATTCAGAGTTGTTGCTGTTAATTCAGTTTTGTTACACCATTGAAATCACCATACAATTATGCTATTGCACAAATTTGTCCTGAAACTGTAATTCAATCTGTAATTCAGTGAATAATTAACAGTTAAATAGCTACTTTAAGGCATCAATATAGTATTACTCTACCATAAATGTGCATCATTTCAAGAATGTCTTATTATTTTAATTAGGGAACTGTATTAGCTCCCTCATTGATTGATTGCCATTCCCTCCAAATCCAATGATTTTTCCAGTTTATATGTTAAAGACTTTCTATGTAAGATATTTGGAGTATAACAAGAGGGGATGAATAAAGCAGACAACATAAAGTTTATTGAATCCAGTGTTATCCATAAAGGCGGCTATTTGATATTTTCTTAACTTTTTGGCAAATAAGTGTGAAATCCAATTGCACTTTTTCATGTCCCTCTGTGACAAATATTTTTTGCCTCATCATAAAGCATTTATGAATAAGCATTAAAATCTGACTTGCAACTATATGCCATTGTTGAATACTTTTTTTGCTATTATGATTTAGTTACACATGGCATTGCCGGCGCTGAACTGCATCCCTCAGTTTAATTGTGGGGAAGTACTGGTCATTCAAAGAGATTTAGCTCCAAAGCTTGCTAATGAGCATAAAGTTCCTTTCACTCTTAATGAATCAAGATTTCTGTGTTAATTTTAGGGGAATAAAAAGAGAGATGTTCACACAATAGGGCAACCTTACAGAGTACGCAGCTGGGCTATCTGAAGCCATCCTTTTTATGAGCCATGGAGTTTAAATGGACTGTACTCTTAAGAGATAGATTTCTGCTAGTGTGAACCAGAGCTTTTGCTTATGGTTCACTGATCTGTCTACTTATAACAATACAAGACCTTGACAAGAGCTTAGGGAAAAAGCATAACATAGGGCAATTCTTTCAAAATCCTTTCATATTACATCTTCAGTGAAGGAGGAAATGAAAAGTAGTTTCAGTCGTTTCAGGGGCTGATCTTTTTCAGGGGGTGGAATAGCTGCTGCATGTTCCTGAATTCCTTGCTGAGAAAAATAATTGTCAAGTTACACTACATGCAAACCAGCAAAGCTATTAAAAACAATATTTACACAGTGAAATAGTATTTGTACTTTGTGGCTGGGAAGAATAGTAATTCTTGGCATTTCCTTACCTGTAATAAACAATTAAAAAAAAGACAAACTGAGATTTTTTTAAAAAAAAAAAAACTTCTCTGATTAGCAAATAACACGACATTCTTGCCAGGTTTCTGACTTACCAAAGCACAGTTTTTATTATAATTATGGTTTGTCCTCCTCCTAATCTATAACTGTCAGCATATTATCTTATTTCACTCTTTATTTGCTCTAAATGTTTGCATATTATTTTGTTTTATAGTCACAAATTCTTTTAGAGACATATGACTCCTGCACTCAGAAGCAAGTGACCATTATCTTTGCAAATACAAATTAATTTGGAACCCAAAAGTTGACACTTAAGATAGAAATAGTAAATGAATGGACACATTTCTGATTCCAATGTGACTCCTAAGGTCCAATTGCATTAAGACCCTGGGGAGGGGGGTAGCTGATTTCATAGTGCGATTGAGTTGAATTCCTATAACAGATGTCTTTCTTTACTGCATTGCAGTAAAGTTCCTAAATAATATAAAAGTTATCAAATGTCTGCCTGTAAACTGTTCTGGATGTCTTGCAGTAAAAGGTAGAAATAGAAGCTTACTTAAAATATATAAGATGGATTCAAAATGTGTCACCTTCAATCTGAAAAAATATGGCCAAATAACTGTAAAAATATAACTTGAAAGAGACATTTGAAACAGAATTTCCTCTTCCGTCTAATTGAACATTATATTATGCTTTCAGATAGCTGATTGGCTTCCCTGGATTTTGCTGATGACACAGGAAACCTTTGCTTGAAGATGGAAACACTGGAGTCAGAACTGACCTGCCCTATCTGTCTGGAGTTGTTTGAGGATCCATTGCTGCTGCCTTGTGCTCACAGTCTCTGTTTCAACTGTGCACATCGCATCTTGGTCTCCCAGTGTGCTACCAACGAATCAGTGGAATCTATCACCGCCTTCCAGTGCCCCACTTGTCGTTATGTCATCACCCTCAGTCAACGGGGTCTAGACGGACTGAAGCGCAACGTCACACTGCAGAATATTATAGACAGATTTCAGAAAGCTTCTGTGAGCGGGCCCAATTCTCCCAGTGAAACTCGCCGTGAACGAGCTTTTGACAGCAACAGCATGTCATCGAGTGAAAAAGTTCTCTGCCAGTTCTGTGACCAAGATCCTGCTCAGGAGGCAGTCAAGACCTGTGTAACTTGTGAGGTATCCTATTGTGAGGAGTGCCTAAAAACAACTCATCCAAACAAGAAGCCATTTACTGGACACCGTTTGATTGAGCCTATTCCTGATTCTCATATCAGAGGATTGATGTGTCTGGAGCATGAAGATGAGAAAGTTAACATGTATTGTGTGACTGATGACCAGTTAATCTGTGCCTTGTGTAAACTGGTTGGGAGGCATCGTGATCACCAAGTGGCAGCTCTAAGTGAACGCTATGACAAATTAAAGGTTAGTTTTGTATTAATTTGTTTATAATAAGTATAGTGCCAGGAAATGAAAGATTTTTACTTTATTTGTGTGGCTAATATTTGCATTTCCCATTCTTTTATTCAACATATCTGTGAATTTGCTTAGCCCGATCCTATATAAATTATAAATTTTGAATTAGAAATAATTAAGCTATGTTAAACCTAAATTTTGATGTAGAAAATTGAAGTGCCAATGCTGAAGAAAATATTACATATACTTAACTTTGATTCAGGTTTTCAATTAAAAAAAGGTGTGGTTTATACATTTATACTGAAATACTTTGAGAATGCCCAAATAATTATAGATGTGGGGGTCTCCATTTACAGTTATCTGTGGCCTGCTCTGCTGACATTTAGAAAAAGAACAATATTCTATGTATACTTTTGAAGCCCAAAATCTTAGGACAGTGGTAAAAATGCCTTAAGTTATTGATACAGCTTTAACAAAACAATCTACACTGCTTACCAAGTTTAGTGGGTCTCAAAGTGTTCACACTGATAGCTCAAGGAACTTGTTCGATCCCATTGATAAAATGTCGATACCTTTGGCACCTTCATTACTTACTTACTGATCTAATCAAGCAAACTTGTTATATGAGCTTTTTGTTATGGATGCACATGAATAGCATTTTTGAAATGTTCTTAATAAGTTTCCCACATTATAAACAACACCAAATACAGCAATAGATCAGTATTCTTGTATTTCATTTGAACAGGTCCTTAGGATTCTGCTTCTGCGGTTTTACAGTAGTGTGGAACAGATTTAAATAGAATAGTGTAGTTATTGTACTGTACTGGTACTGTATTGTATCCATCTGCTATTTTAGATGTCACATTAAAAGCAAAGCAGATTTAAGAAAGAAAATGGGAAAAACAAAAATCTGTTGTTCCAGTTCCCTTAAGGAAATGCTACTGCGATTATTTGTAGAAAATTACAGTAGGTGCGGGGGGATGGGAGGGGCAGAGAGAATGTGAACTTTGGCTGCTGTGATTCTTACCCTGGAAACAATCTATGTCTTCATTTACATTTCTCTCTATTTATAAATACACACACACATAGATGTATAATTTTATGTATCCAAAGTGTTTCATTAGAAAATGATTTTGGGAACATTCTTCAAAGTACACAGAAATCTTGTTTTAATATATAGTTCTTAAAAGATAAATATGATGCCAGTTTGGTTTGGACTACAGCATTGCCCAAATTTATTTTAAAAGTTGTACTTATGTGTTAGATAATAATTCAATAATTATTACTTATCATCAATAAGCATTAAGAGGTAATAATTTAGGTAAAAAATATATGACAACTGCATAGTTCTATTACTGTCTTAATCTTTTATTATTTGCATGGTTCATACATTTTTCTTGTCAGTTGTTCATAAGTGCATATGGGGTTTATTGACTGGATTATTTAATTTTTAGATGTTCTATTATTGTTAGTCTTTGGCAAAGCTGGTATGGATTAAAAGAAATATATTTATATAAGCCTGTGCCTCAGCAGTTCTGTCTTGCCTCCTGGACCAGCTAAGTTATACCTTGTAGGTATCTATCACATATCTCAGGACACAGTAAATAAAAAAAGCATCTTTTTTAGATAACAGTAGCATCTTGTAGTAAATTCACATGTTCACATTGATAAACGAACATGGATAGACTAGTGACTTATTTCAGAGATTTATTTGAGTAATATTTGTGGACTATTCATTTACATTTTAAAGCTAACCTAATCAACTTAAAAATAATTGTAAAGCTCTTTTGCACTTTTGTATCTAATCCATGTTGGATTGTCAAATCCAGCGAATATGCAGATATTCAAAATTCCTCAGTTAAATATGGGGCATCTCATTCTTTTTAATTAATTGCTTCTGCTTATTACAGGGAACTCTAGCCATTTCAAATGTTTACAGTTATGCACTAATTGAGTTTACTCATTCAATGTTAAGTATACTTTATTTATTGATTACACATTCAAGTTTTAAAACTCATAGTTCAATAATCATGCTGTAGATGAATAATACCTTTCTTTTTAACTTATTTTTCAAGCTTATATGCTGTTTCAGTTATAGCCAATTCCAAATGGCATATATTCTGTACCAGTTTAAAAAAGTTAAATCAATACCACCCAATATACATAATTAGCTTATCAATTCCATTGCATTGATGAGCGATTTTGTGTTTATTTTGTATGCAATTATTTAGCAGATTATCTATTTTCAACCCCCAAGACTTCTTGAACACTATGGCCTTCCTAAATCTGAACAGGGTTCAAGCTACTGAAACCCTCAGGAAAATCCTGTTACATAGAAGAGGGAAGCAATGGAGTTGTTAGTGGTTTCATTGTCAATATGGCACTCCTTCAACATAGGCTTACAGTGAGGACAATTTCTTTCAGCTGTTACCAGATTGGGATGGTTCTGAGAAATGTAAAGCTTTAAAGATAATAAGTGGATTAGCTGGGGTAGTCAACTAGCATTCAGCGGTTGCTCTCAAAGTAACGGTGCTACTCTGGCAAAATAAGATCATAAACTATAATACATTTATATTCTGATAATAAGAGTTCATGATGATGAATTTGCTGCATTGATAGTAATAATATTTATCTGTAGAGTTAGTGCATTTATAAATCTGTGGGATGTATGATAATATATTCTTGTCAATATCAGTATCTGCAAACATTGGAAGTCACTCTTAAAATAAAGAAAATGAAATTTGCTATGTAGTAATAGAATGTTCGTAGGTAAAGATCAGTGGACCTTCCATTGACTACACATAAGTTGCTTGATCATATTCTGCTGGTCAGCAAAATATGATAGTTTTATTTTTGATTTATTTTTGTTTAAAAATAAATCTGTGATAAGAAATGAATAGTATAAATACAATCAAATTAGTATATTTTTCTGTAATCAAAACCTAGTTATATCTTTATGATAAATAAAAGTTGCTGAGATTCATGCATTTTGGATTGGTTTTAAAAGATAATTATCTAAATTTGGGGCCTTTCCCTCCCTTTGCTTATGTTGAGTGAGGTAAATGCACTGTCCTATATGAGAATGGAATAGAATTTATATAACTTGTGAAATCTGATGCTAATCCATGCAATTTTCTTGGCAGAAGTACAAAAGAAGTTTGCCATTGTCTTCTTTCAGGATGTGAAAGATATACCAATTACAGGTAGTCCTCAACTTACACTGTAATAAAACCTGGAATTATGGTTATAAGACATGCAGGTCATTAAGTGGACCTTCATGTGATTGTGACTAATTTTATGACCTTTTTTGTGGGGCAGTTTACGCAAATGAAGCATTCATAAAATGAATACACAGTCATTAAGTGAAAGCTCTTATTGTTAAGTAAATTTATTTTCCACAATGCATGGTTCCCCCCCCCCCCCCCCCCAAAAAAAAAAAATATCAGAGATAAATATGAGTTTTGGGCAAAAAAGCTCATAAATTTTAGTCACATGTTCATGGCTCACTACAAACAGCTGTAAATGTGGGCTGTTGTTAAGTGCCCGTGATGTAATCAAATGACTGCAGGGTAGGGATGGCTATCAGAACTTTACATTTGGGTTGTAACTAATTTTTGGGAGTCCATCATAACTTCAAATAGTTAATAAATGACCAGTCATAAATTGAGGACTACCTGAAATCAGAATAATACAGGCTTGTTAAAAGCTAATTTACCTGGTTAGTAATCACTAACTACCAGAAATAATGATGTTCTTTATTGTTCATTACCATTTACAGTGAGTCCTGCTGCCATCACTACTATCACGGTACTATGATTGTGGTTATTATTTGTGGCACAGGGTTTCATGAATTCTAAGCCTCAAAATATTTGGGATAATATGCTACAATTTTTGTTGTGAGAGAGACTAAAAGGCTAATAAACCAGCATCTATGCATTTGGCAGTTGTGAAGTTGGCATCATGTAAGTGAATAATAGATACAGGGGAAGAATTGGCCCCAGAACATAACCCAGGAAGAAATATAGGGAATTTTAAACCTATACTTCTACTAACAAGCTAATCCAGATCAATAGGGTTGTCTGTGTCTGGTATTTGCATTGGAAAAAAGATTCCTTCAATGAGAATAGATACTTGATCCCTTTGCCTAATAATCTTTATTGGATATCTAGTTTGGTACTGTATTATGAAGTCAAAGGGTAATGCAGATTTCCATGCTATCTCTTTTTTAAAAAGTCATTTATTAAATTGCTAATTGTGTGGTGTTTGTCTAGTTGGTTTAGAAGAAATAGTGCTTAATACATGGTTGAAAGGGGATAATATATTGCAGGAAACAGTATCAAGTTTTGTGTTGTTTTGGAATAATATTAAGTGACATAATCCAGTATCATTCAAGTAGAAACCTGCTCACATAATGGAATTCCCCTTTTATATAGCAATCCCAAAATTAGTTTTCCTTTCCAATTCCAACAACAGCCAAACAGCTTAATTGGATTACCCAAAGTAAATTGTATATTTTTTTCTTTTTCCCTTCCTAAATTTATTGTAAACTTTGAGTAGGATTTGTAGTGGTTAAAATGCAGCTTGTGGTGCCTGACAACCATTGAAAAAATAACTGACTGAACCCTATTATTAAGGGGGGGGGGAAATCCTATTTCATGCCCTGGAAATTATGTTTGAGTAAAAATGTTTGGTTTGTGCTATTCCATAAGGAGACTTCTACATATTTAAATGTTTTGTCTGATCCATGATCACTTTATTTGGGTTTGTAAATTATTGAAAATTTCCTACATTTTAAGTGCACAGGAACTGGTTCTTCTTGATGAGCAGTTTTTGAGTATCAAACTATGTAATTACTGACATTCTGTCCCAGCAGTGTTGCTAATTATTTAAACAATATTTCATCCTTCATTAGCTAGAAAACAAAAAATGTCATTACAATCTAGCTCCTTTTGTGTGGTAAAATGAAATGGTTTAATTAAGAGCTCTGTACACTTGTCTGATTGAGGCAT